AGTTGCTCCATTGTCCTTCTTCTACCGCTACTATTTCGGTTTTTGTTCTTCAGAACTTGCCTCGGTAGTTCCTCTTCTTGCAACTTTTACCTGCCCATCCTATACACAGGCATCTAGTCATCTTTATCAGGTTTCTGTTCCCAGGTGTCGTACCTCTCTACTCCAATCTTCTTTTTTCCTCCGAACTGCCAAACTGTGGAACACCCACCCCGTTGTTGTTTATCCCGCAACTTACAATCTTGCATTTTTTAAACGCAGAATCAATAAACCAGATCTTACGCGAAAGTTCCCATACTCTCCCCTTTACAGTATGCTATTTGTCCATGGGGATTTCCCCGTCTACTGTAATTTACACTGTGTAACAGAAAATTATGCTACCCTAGATCCATCAGTCTAATGCGCTTTGCAGTCAAGGCCTCTATTTCAACCTTCTACTCTGGCCTGGAATAACGATGCAATAGAAGGCAGTGGTACGATACGACATAAACAAGTTATGAGGGGGAGAACAAAACTCCAGTGGTCTATTGTTTTGATGGATATTTATACTTCCTGGATACAAGTATATGAGTGAACTGACAAAATAGTACTAGATACACAAGCTTGACGAGCGGAAAGAACCGCGAAACCACTCGTGTTTCCAAGGAATTTTGTTATTCATATGCTACTTATTATGAAGTATTCTATGGAGAGGCTCAAGTCACGTTTGTTTCTTTTAGTAACACCTAACCCACCTACAAAACATGGAACCAGTGTTGATTCCTCAGTGGGCTGGCTCCGAAAGAGCTGTCTACATAAAATTACCCGGTGTTGCAAATGTGGTTATTGTGACGAAAATACACTTCCTGGGTTAAAGTAGACGAATGAACTGACAAAAGAGTACCGAATACGTCTGATGAGCGGCAAGAAACGCGAAACCGGTCGTGGGCTTCCAGGGAAAATTTGCTAGCCATTCAAATACTACTTATTGTGAAATATATATATTATTGCACGCAGTTTGAAATACTTCATTTGCGACTAATAAACTAACGATAATCAAAATGAGTGTATACAGTGTTGTTTAAGCGCAAACGAGAGGTAGGATGGAAAGCGCAACTCCCCGGCAGCTGATCAACAACCCATACCAGATAGTCCGTTTGTGACAGTCCACCGGGAACAGTTGGATCCACCGAGGCCACATTAGCAGCATCCTGATCCGCGCACAAACCGCATACCCAACCCGGCACAAGTGAAACACTGGTTAACCGGGGCAGGTGACAATCCAAATGATAAGTACGACGACACTGACCGCAATGTGCCAGCAGTCCACCACCGAAACAAATTGCACATCCCATCGACGGCTGAATGGGAGTCTCACAATTGTGGTTGTCCAGCTCGATCAGATTGTCGGAGAAATCTCCATATGACGTCATGTGTGGGAGCAGATCAGATTTGAGCTGCATGTAAAAACAAAATGTGGAAAGATGATGAATAGAATAAAGTAGCAGAGATATCTTTCGTTACTTTCAAGCGACTTTCTCTTCCGTGACGGTAAATCGACCTCATTGAATCACTATTGAAAATTCCTGTTAGTATCGTATGAAGTGACAATATGAAAAAAAGATCTAGTTTTTTCGGATGCATTTTTAGACCTTGTAAAATAAAGTGCTATCTGTAGGACAATACGACAATGGCCGTGATTTGATTTAGTGATGGGCCAAATCCGGGCATATCACAGGCATTTGTCGCTTTCTGTTGCAGAGAGATCGCTCGCTAGGAAAAAGCCCGCTTCGTTCTCAGATATCGCCATTAGTAATCTACAACTCTTCATTTAATGAAGAAATGATCGTCCATTCACAGTTAACTATATAAATCACCGGTCTCCTATCCGCAAACTGTAGACGCATAGTAGAATACGGTCTTACTCACATTTGTGAGTGTATGCAAAAAGATGCGATGGGCGGTTTCTTTCAACGATCAAAAATAAACAAGACCTATTGGAGCGAATTGCTGTGTTCAGTATGGCAACTACAAGAATGTTCCATTAAATACCGTGTGTGTGTGTGTGAATTTAGAAGAGACATTTTGTCGCATGAATGCCGATTTACCGATACTCTGACAGTTATTCAGAATAAATAACTGTCCTCGTCCAGACATCACCTCGTGGAATTACAACAACTGGTGCCATCGCCATGATTAAAGTCCAATGGCCCGCAGCCTTCGAAGATGGAGACGCGCAGACTTTCCTCGAGGACGTCGCGAAGCTGCCGGGGATATGGACGGAACGGGGTAAGTTGACGGCTCTCCGACGGCCCTCCTTCTCAAGGACCGGGCGCAGACGGTGTTGGATGCGGTGGGAAAAGGGCCCGGAGGAGATAGAGTGGGTTACCGCAAATGACGCCCTGATCGCGGGTTTTGACACCCCGGCCGACCGCCAGGAGGCATTGCGGAGCTTTCGGACGGCGCAGCTCGGATTTGGCGTGAACCCCTGTTGCATACGTGGCTCTGCGCACCCTCTTGAATCGAGCGCTCCCGAGATGGGACGATGCCTGCGCGTTCGGAGTTACTGCTCGATTGTTTCGTGGAGAGCCTGCCGGAAGACTTACGGGAGACGGCACGGATAAGTGATGCCGAGAAGACCATGGATATATTCAAACTGGCGTATGTCCTGAGGGAGTTCACCTGAAAGAAAGTCACGCCTGTTCAGACAACTAGGTCAGTAGAAGCCTCAGATGCGACAGTGAAGACGGTTGGCGAAGACGACCCTGAAGTTGGCGGTGCATCAAAGCGAACTTTCTCTATTGAGAACACAACGGACAAGCAAATTTTTGCCAGACTGCACAACAAAACGGTGAGCAAATTAAGAATGCCGGTGAAACGGAAACCAAGTGCACTTTCGAAAGTCAGGAATTGCAAGTCCTTTTCCTGAGCACGTGTTCGACATGCGAAATGTTGTACAGTATTCGGTTGACCCATCTCCCGATCTGGGAGAAGTAATAGCCGACAAATTTTGCCACAAATTTTGGCCATCCTGACGAACGAATCTCGGACGAGGTGTTGGCACGCGTAACTAAAGCTCGATTGGTGTTTGTCAACTTGAAACACCTCTGGCGAAATTGTAACATTCAACTGTTTGATAAAGGTCGAATGTATGATACTGCAGTGAGGCCGATGCTGAGATACGGTTCAGAAACATGACCGCTAGGTGAGGAAGTGGAACGCAATCTATCGATGTACGAACACTGCATTTGCTTTTCTTCTATTTACTCCATTACGGTACCGAACCAGTAACCGGAAGACAGTAACCAAAACCAGCGCACGATAGACCAATGCTAATGGTAGCACAAACTGAAAACGGAAATGAGGGTAGTGACAGCGTTCATATGTCAACCACTTTATTCCATTAATCCGATTCTGTTCACGAACAATCCGTGGGCTGATTTCCTCTGTACAAAACTGGTGTATCGTAATTGGTTTTCCACATCGCAGTGGCGCTGATCGAACGATTCACTATTACAGCCGGATGTCATGGAACGTCTTTCTTTTTCATAAAGATTACTGTACCATGATTTGTTCAGCACATAGTCTGGATTCAGACGTGTGTGAAAATATAATTTGCTATACGTATGTCGCGACGAATGTTTCAACTTGGCAAATGTCAATCAAGCCTTCTGTACGCGTGCGACATCTCATCCGTGATGCGTCCGCCAGGTGAGATGTAGCTGCCCAGATAGCAAAATTTGTCTACTTCCTCAGCCACTTCCTCAGACAGAGTAAGGTTGCAAAAACATTTAACACTTTGAAGGTGGAAAACACATACCGAACATGGTTACACTAGTATTCAAACTATCCACAAAATCTTGCAAAATAACCGGATCTTCACTTAACAGTAAAATACCGTTTGCACGGTATGAAGAAATCGCAGTCCTGACGGCTGAAAGATCAGACAAAGTTCAGTCTCCTGGTCCTCCAGGTTAGGGGTTTATCTGGGATTGGCGTCTCATTTGGCAAAAAAATGTTGGAGGAGTAATTGATCCAGATAAATTGACCCTGGTTTTGCTTTCCACGCTACCTTGCGGTTATGTTTTTATCGGAACTAAAGCATTTGAAGGGGATTCCTAATTTTTCTCGTGCTTGGTGGCTGGGCACCCCAACAGTACCCGTCCATCAAACTCCAATACATACGCTCCAAGTCACAGGGGCCTAGATTGCCAATTAGCTTGAGTGAACGGTAGTTTCGTGTAACCATGGGTTTCACTCCTCTTATTGCTGAACACACGACAGTCTGTAACGAGAAAGACAAGCGTAAAAATAACAAAGCATAGTCATCCCAACATAAGGGAACAAGACGTACATCAGTTAGCCTTTCGGTACCGTTCGATCTGATAGTATCACTTGATTGCATGTTCATCTCACTGGAACCAGATTCCAACTTTACTGGAACCGACTGATCACCATACCGGGTCGGTTTGGGTAACCAAACGACCTGACCTGAGTGGCGTGCCAGATCTTCCGGATTCCAATTGCCGAAAAACAAAGCCCGCGTGTTCGCAGTTGTTCGCCAACCCAATGTGGACTTACGCCACGCGCTTAGATCAGATGAATCTGGCGAGTTAACTGGTGCTTCAACTGAGTCTGCGGATGGCGGTGCATCACTGATCAAGCGTTCGGCCCGGCTACGCAAGCATTCCAATCGATTCTGTACAACATCAAACAACTGAACAAGACTGGCCGGATGCGCATCCTTGTTTTTGATCAGACGATTGGCAAACTCAAGAGTGAACTGGATTTGTTGCTGGAAAGATGTAAACCAATAGGTAAGTATAAGTTCAACAGCAGTTCGTTTTAAATCGATAAATAATTTCAACAGATTCACTGAGGGAAAAAACAAAGATGCAACGAACAAGATCGCTTTCTGTCCTTTATACACTGGTCGATTACAGCACATTGTATAACTCAGAAAGATTACACGAGGAGACAGTCAAGTCAGGGTTTTAGTACATGTAAAGTGGGAGGTGGAAGTTCCAACACTAAGTCCATTGCGGAGTGTGAATATTCGACTGAAATGTTAGGTGGAGGCACTTCAGGCACATGACTACGGAAGGTTAATGAATGCGACGAACTTTTAATGTTGTTTGATCCAGTGCGAGGTGGATCTTATTACCCTATGTAAAAAACGATCCTACGTGCATCGATATTATGATCGAGCTTCCCCTTGGCTACGACGTTCTTCCAGTTATCACGCTAGCATCTGAGTGGCTTAGGGACTGGCCATGGTAGAGATAATACTTGGAAAAAAAGCTTCTGATTGAATTGTGGGGGTCAAGTGATTGGATCACAAATGCTTCAGCCAAGTGGAAGCTCAATCAAAATGTTAACACACGCATGATCGCTTGGTACATAGGGTAATAGGATCCACCTCGCACAGAATCAAGCTATATAGAATGCTCTA